CTTAAAGTATAAAAAGAATTATTTTTAATTCCCATGCGTATTGCAATCATAACTCATTTATTCCCTTTGTTTAATTGTGAAACCCATCTGGTTTTATGTCCACAAACATGTTTTGAAACTTTTAAAACAAAAAGATATTTTTGGGTGCAAGCAATTGCCATGTATTATTGATTGTTAATCATATCAATTTATATATAAGAATATAGTTGTGCTTACTGTGTCATTTTGCAATAATTATATTGTTATGATGTAATATTTTACTATTGTTAACAATCTTTAAAACTTCAGTTTATTTCAATCACGTCAAGTGGTGTGATCATTTTGATATTTTTTTATAATTCAATCAAAATGAGAAAAATAAAAAAATATAAATACATAGAAGAAATTTGTTTTCCTTGTCAAATTACGATGATAGCATAAATTTATCTCATGCTCCTTGTATAGCATGCTCCTTGTGAAAATTCATTCCATTTCTTCTTCGAATGTACCTTATATGATGATTTTAGGGAGACATTACTAACAGCTATCGATAATCTTGGAGGACAAAATACTCTACATAGTATTCTTTTTGGTGATTCAAACTTAGATGTTTTCCTGAATACAAAAATATTCTTGTCTGTACACAAATTTATAGAAACGACTAACAGATTCAGTAGCTAGCATATTATTGTTTCCAAACTGTTAATCATTAATATTGTTAAATCTATATTCAACACTAAAATGTATAATATTAGGATATGTATGAGATGCACACTGTCTTCACTTTCCAGCACATTGTACATATCCTTCATATGAGCACTGTATATATATTGCGCACTATGTTTCCACAATGTGAAGCTTCAACTGTAAATTGTTCATTTTCATTATGCAATATTATGTATAACTGTATATAGGGAGAAGGCGGTAATAAGTGCTGCCCTTTGTCTTTTTGGACAATAAAATATGTTTAATAATATTTCATCTTGTGATCTGACAAAGTTAATATTTTCAAGTCAAAATATCAACTTTAGTAAACCACATGAAGAGATAAATATTGCATTTGACAAAATAAATTCAAGTCTTATATTTTCTTTGTGATCTTCATGACCTTACTCAGAAAACCATAGTGTCAATGAGGCAGACTGACTGTAGGTGTGACAAAATGTGATATTTCACCTGATTTTAATAAAAAATCTTATTTTTTTCACTCTAGCGAAAGTATGTTTTCAGCATGGTCATGATTAAATACATACCGGTAATACAAATATCAAAACGTGTTTCATTAAAACAAGAGTGAATTTCTGTGTGACATTGATATAAAGAGCTGTAGTACACTGTCATTAAATTGATGCATCTGTTGAGTTTACCCTTTACACAGAATATACTGTTTGAGTTTTCGACATATCAGATGAATTGATGCCTTCAAGATTGTTCTAAAGTACATGTAGCATGTAATGTTACACACTGTGATTAATTTTCCTTAAACTTCTCTATTTCAGAAGAATGTTGTTTTCTAAATAAGCAATATTTTGAGAGAAGGTGAATATGCATTGTTTATAAAAAATGTTATTGAAGTAGGAATATTATTACAATATAATAGAATTATTCATTTCAGGCCAGCGAGTCAACACAATGAAGTACTAGTATCCCGTCACGGATGTCTGGAGGAGCTTTCTGCTGACAGTAACACAATGGTTACAATGTGCATCCTGTCAAAGGACGAGGAAGTGAAAAGCCATATTCATTCAATCAACAAATGTGGTTCCTGTCACATTTCTCTTAAATAGGACGAGGAACTGAAAATCCTTATTCACTCACAAATCAACATGGCCAATATTTATCGGACACTGAAAAAGCACATTGTACCATTTGTTTACAAGCAAGAAAATTATTTTCTCCTGGAATTTAATTAGGTGCTTTGACTGACAAAGACACCCAGTCCATGTTAAGTTTTGAAAACTTATATTGTGAGAAATAAAGATATGAAAATTTTGGTTTGTTTTTCTTTGTCAAATATGAGAAATCCAGATTGTTCCATCAACATAATTTGTACCGATACATATATTTTATCTTGGCTTGATTACCAATTGAAGTTGATTCCTTTTTATCTTTTGTTATTTTATCTGTACTCATATCTGATCAAGACATTTTCAAACTATTCAGGATAAATGTATTAGTAGCTTCCTTTTGATATACAATTACCTTTCATCATACAGGATTAGGTGAGGGTGTTCAAGAAGTTGGTAGTTGTATCAATTCTTATATTTCTTCAATTTCATGCATTATTTATATTTATCTATTTTTAGTTTCCTTTTAACTTATTTTAAACAGTTCACACATTATTACTTTTGTAGTGCACGGTGCAATCTCAATCGGCAATAATCAGTTAAGTAAGTGATGTTTGAAGAACAAGTAAAGTATCATCTGTCATTGTACACACTGAATAGGGTTATCGCCTCTTCTGAATATTTATTTTGACACACGAATTATTTTCGTAATTAACATTGTAATATGTTAAAATGAAAATCATAGCAGAAAAAGTGTCTTTAGTCAACTGGACTCATGGCAAAACGATAGTGCGTTGTGCAGCAAACACCACTATGAAACGTGAAATAAACATGATCTCAATCTTGATCTAGAGTTCGCCAAGCCACGCATTGACTGAGCAATTTTGCAAAAGTACACTGACGTGTTTCATGTTATGCGGTTTATTTACGATAGAAAACTTCTGTCATTGAATGTACTGTCACATTGTACCTATATGCCGACGAGGTTATGATAAAACAATCTATTTCTGAAATACGTATCTCGAAATGCACCTTTCGATTCACTTCCGGGATCCTGACAGCAAAATGCTAATTCCAGTGTATAACAGGCATATTTTAGTTGGACCTCATGATTTAATGTGAAATATCTTCTGTATTATATACAGAGGAAACCATTTTCTGTTTGTTTGAAATGTCCATCAGTGAAATGCACAACATGCTGTCTATTCCCTATGAGCTGATGCGACTCTCACTGCATGGAGCTATGCTCTCCAAGCCTCGTTTTCGATCCAAGATGGCGAAAGTGTGAAAAAGGTCAATATCGAGAGCTCAGCGAACAGGGAATCGCTGCGAGGCGCTTGAAGAGGCCATGACGTCATGCGTTGTCACGATGACGCTACTCAGTTGTCTTTGGAATGGATGGTCAGATTCCACACTGAAGGCCAATTGAGCATAGGTATCTTGGAACGGATCAGGTTATATGGAGACTTGACGAGTTGCTTTACAACAGCCTATTAGAAATAGATTTAGAAAAGAGTTCTTGCCAGACAGAAAAAAACACTAATTTTCAGTGATCCGTTAATATAACTTTCATCACTATTTTGCCTTTTACGCCCAATCTGCTATAATCGAGACTGGTTCTTCTCTGGCGTTGATGTTTCCTATTAAGAGGAACTAAGGAAACATCAATAACTTCATAATAAAGCCTTTATGCTATTTATTACACGCAAAGCTAATGCCTATATCATAAACAATTCGGAAGACCATTACTTTATGTGGTGTGGTGTGGTGGGGCGTGGTGTGGTGTGGTGGGGCGTGGCGTGGCGTGGTGTTGCGTGGCGTGGCGTGGTGTGGTGTGGTGTGGTGTAGTGGGTAGTGTAGTATGGTGTGGCGTGGTGTGGTGTAGTGGGTAGTGTGGTGTGGTGTAGTGGGTAGTGTGGTGTGGTGTAGTGGGTAGTGTGGTGTAGTGTAGTGGGTAGTGTAGTATGGTGTGGCGTGGTGTGGTGTGGTGTAATGTAGTGGGTAGTATGGTGTGGTGTAGTGGGTAGTGTGGTGTGGTGTAGTGTAGTATGGTGTGGCGTGGTGTGGTATGGTGTGAGTGAGTATTTTTTCACGCCGCTTTTAGCAATATTCCAGCAATATCACGGCGGGGGGACACCAGAAATGGGCTTCACACATTGTACCCATGTCGGGAATCGAACTCGGGGCTTCGTCATGTCGTGCGAACGTTTTATCAACTAGGCTACCCGACCGCCCCCTTTAAAGTGTAACGATTCACATATCCTCCTATCTTAACTTTGTAACCTTGACGACCTTCTTGTAGTAGGTGAGTGATTTTGGTTTATCCCCTGTCAACAGCATGTTAGTTATATTTAGGATTATCAGCTAGGATGAAAGCCGGAAGTGACGCAGGTCTTAGTTTATCACCTTGGTGAAACCCATGAGCAAGTGTTTGGTGCTGACAAACCTAGAAACATAACCGGGGAGATTCTGAGATTCAAATCCACGATCACGACACGTCTAAGGGGCGAACTAAGACGACTGAGCCACCCGTACCCTTCTTATACAGAGTATGAGTAACTTATTTCAGGTAAAAGAGTGAGAAGATTAACAAGATGACCTGGGTTCCCAGAGATTTCACAGAAAAGGATAATCAGTAAATATCTGCTCTTCACAGAAAAGACATGGAGCTGCAGGAATCACTTATGAGCCTCCAGGTATCTCAAGGCGGCTGATCCGTCTCCGCGACAGCGTGCAGTGAGTTAAGCAGACGGGGAATCGAGACGTCAAGGTATGGAATCAAGTCATCAAGGAGGCTCATTGAGTCGTCAAGGTATGGAATCAAGTCATCAAGGAGGCTCATTGAATCGTCAAGGTATGGAATCAAGTCATCAAGGAGGCTCATTGAGTCGTCAAGGTGTGGAATCAAGTCATCAAGGAGGCTCATTGAGTCGTCAAGGTATGGAATCAAGTCATCAAGGAGGCTCATTGAGTCGTCAAGGTGTGGAATCAAGTCATCAAGGAGGCTCATTGAGTCGTCAAGGTGTGGAATCAAGTCATCAAGGAGGCTCATTGAGTCGTCAAGGTATGGAATCAAGTCATCAAGGAGGCTCATTGAGTCGTCAAGGTATGGAATCAAGTCATCAAGGAGGCTCATTGAGTCGTCAAGGTGTGGAATCAAGTCATCAAGGAGGCTCATTGAGTCGTCAAGGTATGGAATCAAGTCATCAAGGAGGCTCATTGAGTCGTCAAGGTATGGAATCAAGTCATCAAGGAGGCTCATTGAGTCGTCAAGGTGCATCTTCCCGAGGCAAGAGAGTTAACTGACTTTAAAAGTCCAGTTTCCACCCTTGCCGAAACTCCCGCCCTGCATCACCTCCTCTCCGTACATCCCCCTCCACACAGAACAGCCAGCAGCATCTCCTGTCATCCTCCCGCCCTGCATCACCACCTCCACGTACATCCCCCTCCACACAGATCAGCCAGCAGCATCTCCTGTCATCCTCCCGCCCTGCATCACCACCTCCACGTACACCTCTCTCCACACAGATCACTCAGCAGCATCTCCCGTCATCCTCCCGCCCTGCATCACCACCTCCACGTACATCCCCCTCCTCACAGAACAGCCAGCAGCATCTCCCGTCATCCTCCCGCCCTGCGTCACCACCTCCACGTACATCCCCCTCCACACAGAACAGCCAGCAGCATCTCCCGTCATCCTCCCGCCCTGCATCACCACCTCCACGTACACCTCTATCCACACAGAACAGCAAGCAGCATCTCCCGTCATCCCCCCGCCCTGCATCACCACCTCCACGTACACCTCTCTCCACACAGATCAGCCAGCAGCATCTCCCGTCATCCTCCCGCCCTGCATCACCACCTCCACGTACATCCCCCTCCACACAGAACAGCCAGCAGCATCTCCCGTCATCCTCCCGCCCTGCATCACCACCTCCACGTACACCTCTATCCACACAGAACAGCAAGCAGCATCTCCCGTCATCCCCCCGCCCTGCATCACCACCTCCACGTACACCTCTCTCCACACAGATCAGCCAGCAGCATCTCCTGTCATCCTCCCGCCCTGCATCACCACCTCCACGTACACCTCTCTCCACACAGAACAGCCAGCAGCATCTCCTGTCATCCTCCCGCCCTGCATCACCACCTCCACGTACACCTCTCTCCACATAGAACAGCCAGCAGCATCTCCCGTCATCCCCCCGCCCTGCGTCACCACCTCCACGTACATCCCCCTCCACACAGAACAGCAAGCAGCATCTCCCGTCATCCTCCCGCCCTGCATCACCACCTCCACGTACACCTCTCTCCACACATGACAGCCAGCAGCATCTCCCGTCATCCTCCCGCCCTGCATCACCACCTCCACGTACATCCCCCTCCACACAGAACAGCCAGCAGCATCTCCCGTCATCCCCCCGCCCTGCGTCACCACCTCCACGTACATCCCCCTCCACACAGAACAGCAAGCAGCATCTCCCGTCATCCCCCCGCCCTGCGTCACCACCTCCACGTACACCTCTCTCCACACAGATCAGCCAGCAGCATCTCCCGTCATCCTCCCGCCCTGCATCACCACCTCCACGTATATCCCCCTCCACACAGAACAGCAAGCAGCATCTCCTGTCATCCTCCCGCCCTACATCACCACCTCCACGTACATCCCCCTCCACACAGAACAGCAAGCAGCATCTCCCGTCATCCTCCCGCCCTGCATCACCACCTCCACGTACACCTCTCTCCACACAGAACAGCCAGCAGCATCTCCCGTCATCCTCCCGCCCTGCGTCACCACCTCCACGTATATCCCCCTCCACACAGAACAGCAAGCAGCATCTCCCGTCATCCTCCCGCCCTACATCACCACCTCCACGTATATCCCCCTCCACACAGAACAGCCAGCAGCATCTCCCGTCATCCTCCCGCCCTACATCACCACCTCCACGTACACCTCTCGCCACACAGAACAGCAAGCAGCATCTCCCGTCATCCTCCCGCCCTACATCACCACCTCCACGTACACCTCTCGCCACACAGATCAGCAAGCAGCATCTCCTGTCATCTTCACGCCCTGCGTCATCAGACCGCGGGGGCGGTCGGGTAGCCAAGTGGTTATAGCGTTCGCTCGTCACGCAGAAGACCCGGGTTCGAATCCCGACATGGGTGCATTGTGTGAAGTGAGTGACTGAATGTTTCATGCTACAGTCAGCAAATATCTATTTATCTCCGCGGCCTGTACATAATCGGGTTTGGACCAGGCAAACCAGTGATTAAAACAAGAGCAGGCTGACCACCCGATCCAGTTTTGTCGACCTTTAACCATGGCAAAGCGGCATTAAGCCTATATTCACTCACTCCATATCATTCACCTTCTTGCAGCTTTCAGTAAGGTGAACATGACGTTTATATGAAAACGACACGCACCCACTGTTCAGTAACATAATCTGCAAACCTCACCACCCGTGGATAGTCAAAGTTTGCTTCTTCTAGGGCTGCCATCCACACATCGTTGATGTCACACATTCTCACTGGTGGCAGGGCTGAGGCTCTCCTTACCAAGAGTTTCACATTGTCATCGGTCTTATACAAGGTCTGAACTCCATTCACCTGGGCATTTCTCCAGGTTGCCTGTCTAAATTATATTGAATACCAGAAGAAAACTTTCAATACCCAACTGTGAATGATATTACGTGAGTGAGTGAGTGAGTTGGGTTTAACGCCGCGTTTAACAGTATTCCAGTTATATCACGGCGTGTCAGCTTAATGTGGGAGGAAAGCCCGAAGTGATGCAGGTCTCAGACGTTTACCACTTCGGTGAAACCGAAGAGCACGGATATGGTGCTGACAAACCTAGAAACATAATCGGGGCGAAACGGGATTCGAACCCACAATCATAGGTTTCTGGCGTGTTCAAGGGACGCAACTGCACAGCGAATCGCGGCGCCTTAGACGACTGGGCCCCCCGTGCCCCCCGAATGATATTACGCATATGAGTAAATACTCAACGGCGTAAAACTTATCTGAGGAGTGTTGGTATCAAAGTGCACATCGTCCAAAGTCAAAAGTGCATGTGTAAAGCGCAGGTAGTGATAAACAAGGGTATCGTACTGATTATGTTCATCATAACAAGTCGTCATTGTGGTCAGATGTACGGCAACATCGATCAGCTATCAACATTCCCTTAACGATCCGTACTCCAACATAGTGGAATAAACATACATATCTGACCAGAGTAATAAAAACAAAATCTCTAATATAATGTGTATATTATAACTTAATTGTACATTTTAAACTGTAGTGTTTTCCTGCTTTGGTTTGATTGGTTTGGTGGGGGTGGGATGTCAAGGTTGCTAAGCCAACCTATATGATCTTGTTTTCTAATCCAAGTTCACCCTGGTTTTGTTTGTAGGTTTGTCAGCACCATACCCGGGCTCGTGGGTTTCACGAAAGTGGTAAACGTCTGAGAAACGTCCATGGACCCCTGCTTCAAATAGACTTGCTGCAGTCGCGATGATCACTTTGTGTGAATTGCCCTACGTTTTCCGTTTCATTGACCAGATAGGTTTTATACATTTCTTAGCGGGTGGTGTAAGGACCATAAAATGAATATAAACACAGATAAGTCCAAGAGTGTTCACTTCAGGGTGCTACTATTGCCAGGACTTCGGTTTCTTTCTACTGTGATGAACTTGTGTTAGAAGTGGCAGATTCTTATAACTATCTGGGTGTGTTTTTAACAGAACATTTAGATTTTAACTCTATGGCCAAATGTGCAGCAAAATCAGGATGTAGAGCCCTTGGTCTTTTAATCTCAAAGTACAAAAGCCTTGGCGGTATGCCATTTAAAGTATTTAGCAAACTTTACGACACAATGGTTTGGTCTTGTCTGGACTATGGTTCCGCAATATGGGGCACGACAGAATATTCGACGATAAACGCTGTTCACCACCGTGCTATCCGCTTCTTCCTTGGACTGGGGAAATACGCACCAAATGTTGCAATAAATGGGGAGGTTGGCTGGATCCCACCTTGTGTCAGATCGTGGGCCACAGTTTCAAGGCACTGGGCCAGACTTGTCAACACGCCAAACAGGAGAGTCACTAAGAAGATATTTTTATGGGCAAGTAAGTTCAAGAAAAACTGGAACTCCAGGGTGACGGCGTGTCTCGAGAGAATAGACCTTGGGCACTTAACATCTACTAGCTCACACATTGAGTCGAGGCCCCTTGCTGCGGCAGTTAGAGAAAGACTGATGTCAGAGTATAAAACAAAGTGGTGGGACAAGCTACAGTCAATACAAGGGGCGAGGGGAAGAAATAAACTGAGAACCTACAGGCGTTTCAAACACCATAACGATACGGAAGATTACGTTAAGAAACCACTGTGTCGTTGCCACAGAAGTGCGCTTGCTAAATTTAGATGCGGGGTAGCCCCATTAAAGTTAGAAACTGGCCGCTACTAGTTTTACGCGTGTTTTGATTTTATATGTATATTGTACAATGTACCTTATGGATGAGACGCAAATAAATTATTGTCTGTCTGTCTGTCACAGATAGGGAAATACAACGACAACTCACAGATATTTAAATTATTCCATCCGATTGCGTAGGGTATTCGTCAAAATACAAGATCACAAGATATTTGTTTATTTGTGATGATAAAAGCAATACGAAGAGAGAGAAAACAGAAAAAAGAGTATTCAAACATTGAACCGGCGGATTTCATAATCCGTGAAGTGGATTGGAAGGCGGATTGTCCTTTACTATCAGTTCACTACTGCGCATGTGTCGAGTTCACAAGAGATACTGACGAATACCACGAGCATTAACTCCACGTGCACCGCGTCACGTTCCACCGCAGCCCAGAGAAATGTTTTCTCATTGGAAGCTGTACAGCTAGACTAACATCTAGTCTCTGAAATGAGCATAGCTTACAGAAGAAAAAAACAGTTGTTAAATAATAGTTAAAAATATAATAAAAAGGAGCCCAAAGTAATCTAGATTTGCCAAACATGATAGACTTGCATGGGCTGTATTGGATATATTAGTTTCAGGGTCTGTATGACAGACTACTCTACAGCCTGAGAAGACTGATGGGGAGCCGTATTTCTGATGTGGAGCATTTTCAAAGCACGTGGTGTGATTTGTTTGTTTGTTTAATTGTTGGTTAACGTCGCACTCAGCAAAATTCCAGCTACATGTGTATATGAACATGGCAGGATAGGTACACAATGACAATAGTAATGACTGAAAGTTAACATATATCAAGTCATTAATTGTCTCATGGTCATTTATAACGATTCATGGGTGGATTAAAAAGAATAAGGCAACAGCTGGGACAGCTTCTCGTGGTAATTACGACCCACTTCTGACCAAGATATTAAAGATACTGGAACTAACAACCCATTGGAAACGACGAGAGACATTTCCCCTGGCATTTTACCTAAACGATGGATCTTTATGTTGATTAAAATGCTTCAAACAAAACACACAAGGCTTGCTTTGATGACAAAAGAGTCAATGCATCCAAATCAATTTAAAGTGTTAAGCAAAATTTGTTCTGTATAACTCCTTACATTAACAGTAGATCGGCGAGTACAGTAATTTTCACTGTGCTCCGAATCATTGAAGGAGACTGCACATCCGCTCATTTTGAGTAAAGTTCTGATTTTGTTTTATCTCCCTTACTTTTCAAAATAAAAGGTTATTTTTTAATGTGACTCGGGAAGTACGTGGCTATCTCCGAAACCTAATTGAATGTTTGTTTAGTTTATCTTTCAGATGCCTATTTCACCAAAATAGGCATTTTTCATGTTGTTCTCTGCACAAAACGAGACTTCATCAAAACATATAGCGAATTGTCACCTTAAGTTTAGATATAACTGAAGATAAGCAGCTTGTAAAGGTACATATTAAGTTTCAGTCATTACTATTGTGGCATTATGCCGTTTCAAGGTGACCTTTCTTAAGTTTGTTAGTAACAAGTAACCAGTAACTGTAGCAGTTTGGGGGAAATATGGAAAAGGGCAAGCATCAACACGAAGACAAATATTACCAGCGTCTTGATTTCGTAATTGGAGACATGCTTATTAAAGTATATATAAACAATACAACGTACGTATGTAGTCTATCTAGTTACAGTCTTGTGACAAGTCTGTACATGTGTATATAATCCATAGCACGGCCTAGTCTAGAGAAAATCATCTAGCAGCACAGATTATATATAGAATCAATGAACATATACTCGATTATCCAGTGTATGACATCTACCGTCCATTGTCATACATAACGTGGACCTATTCGCGATCACAGCATCGTTTCGGAAGTGACGTCACCACCTCAATCGTTCCCTTCTCTGATTTTGCACCGAGTTTATCTCGCTCGCGACATTAATTTGATTGGAGGGCTATTTTTAACGTCGAGCTTTTCGAATCCGTCTGAAAACGAAACTATAGTGGCGAATTAATATATTATATCTACGTTGGGGGAGCCGTTGCTATATTGTGTGCAGATAAACAAGAACTGTAAGTAGCCACAAGATGTCTCACGTCCTCAAAGGTCTTCCAAGTTGTCTGTCACTTTACCGTAGGTACCTGGAGGATGGAGAAAGAAACGTCATGACAACATGCTTCGTTGTGATCTTTGAGCTAAATATTACATTTGTAGTGAGTGAGTGAGTGAATAAGCACTATCCCAACAATATCACGGCGGGGGACACCAGAAATGGTCTTGACACATTGTACCAATGTGGGGAATCGAACCCGGGTGTTCGGCGTGACGAGCGAACGTTTTTACCACCAGGCTACCCCACCGCCCCTATTACATTTGTAACTCCCACAGTTTTGTATTTTCTTTTGCCTTTACAGTATTAAAGAAGTTGTTATCCATAAATTTTGAGTCTACTTTGTCCCACAGTTCAACACAGACTGTCGATATTGTTGTCGATGGTGTTTCAAAGTAATGGCTATAGCTTCGCGTTCGGTTCCAAATTCAACTGAGCACTGTTCAATCTACAGATAAGCTAGCTCCAAGTTGTAAACACAGTACGTTCCATTATTCTCGGTTTGAGTAAAGAGATATTGGCATTTAGGTTAAACTGATATTATTTTATCCACATGAAAATGATTGAGCACAAATGATCAAAACTTTCCCATCTCCCATCGATTTACAGAAATGATTATTTACAATGAATACATAAAATGACAGACATGAAAGAAGAGACATAAAAACATATGTACATTGTCATTGCTCACTGAGACATTTTTGTGTGTGTACATATGTATGTACTTTCCTGAATACTAGTATGTTTTCGTTGACATGATTAGGGTAAAGGTGCATTGATAACTTACATCAGGGCAATCCAACACAATTATTTTATTTCGTTATTAACAATAGTGAGTGTATACGTGCGTTGGAATGTCATTCAAATTTCATCTTTGTTATCGAGCAACCCGTGTACATTCATGTAAACCCATTTTACAAATACATTGGTCTCTTTATCAAACCGGGGCGGTCAGGTAGCCTAGTGGTTTGAGCGTTCGCTCGTCAGGCCGAAGACCCGGGTTCGATTCCCGACATGGGTACAGTGTGTGAAGCCCATTTGTGGTGTCCCCCGCCGTGATATTGCTGGAATATTGCCAAAAGCGGCGTAAAACCATACTGACTCACTATATCAAACCAAGCATCACAAGATTGCAATCTAGAACAGATAACTGCTTAAACGTGAAGAGAGTGCAGCCAAAACAAAAACACCAAGTTAATTATTTGGGCTTATTGTTGTGGCCCTGAACAAAAATGTTGATCTTTTTCATTACGTGACATGACCTTGAGCAAGGTGGCTGAGTTGATTCGAGCAAGAGTGAAAAGGATCAATCTCTACTGTTGGCTCACTTCAAGATTCAAAATGCATTCGTTAATGTAATATACATTCATTATCTGAGGCGTGTCCAGGTCAAAAGATGGTATATATACATTACAGAATACAGTTGACCCTCCAGTTAGCCCAAAACATGCATAAGTAATAAATAGTATATTCATCATCGCACCAACATAGTCTCTTCATCACAATAACTACTAAAACTGAGTCACTAACAGGGGCAGCAACACCTGCCATGTCAACTTTCATTGTCAAGCACGAAACAATAACTCACCTTCCAGGTAAAATAATCGATTTCTCAGTATTTCGCATCTTGTAGTTGGGTCGAGCTGCTGGAAGGCCGGAGTGCATCGTGTTGGATTCATATGAGTACTAGTCGAATAATTGGTCGGTTTGCTATAACAGCATTTTACTAACTTGTCCATACAACATTTCCTCACTACATCTAATTCATGTTTATGCGCCAACACGAAATACCGCATGAGACGATCTTTATTCTCTTCATCGTATTCTTCATTTTTTATTTGTTTCTGACATGTTACGGAAATCGTCATGGGAGCATAATCCATGCCAGGTACCGCTCCTATTATCAATGTTTTACACGTTTCCACCGGAAACAGCAGCTTGTACTTCGCAGCCAGTGGGAGTAGATACTCGACGTTGTCTTCATCAACAACGTTGACGCTCCTGAAGTTGGGGTAGATGGAGGTTAGCATGTCCACAATGTGGTCAACATTTCCGTCCAACTTGGCCACGGCTTTGTTGGTTTCGCTAGGAGGAGACTGGGGGTCCGGGCGTGGCTGGAACTCACTCGCCAGTGTCGGGGACATCAGAGAGATTATATTCAGGTCCACGTGAAGCTCGTGGTCTTCCACCTGTATGACGGCGTCTGATTTCTTATTCCCCTCTGTGAAGAAGGTTTTCGCCTCTTTTAAACGTGACTCAAACATTTTGGTGATAGAAGTGTCGAAAACAAGTTCCAAATTCCTATGGCTAACTTTCGGAGATGGTGTGTCAATTTACTGCTGGTCTTGAAGCCTTTGTATTCTGGAAATAAGAATATGCCACAATAAACCATACACAAGAAGTTCCGAGAAACGGACCTATTCCTGGAAACATACCACGTAAAGTAAACTCACCCGCCCGTGTCGGTGACATCAGAGAGATGACAATCAGGTCCACGTGAAGCTCGTGGTCTTCCACCTGTATGACGGCGTCTGATTACTTATTACTCTTTGAAAAGAAGGTTTTCACCTTTTAAACTATCCTCAGTCCTTTTGTTCCTTAACATGTCTTAAACAAGGACAGGCTCTTCTAAATAACTGTCGCTGATGGCTTTACTTTGCTGATGATCTTGCAGCCACTGATCTGGGAATAAGAATATTTTACAGTGACAAGTCACCATTCACGAGATGTTCCGAGAAACGCGCCTATTTTTAGAAATATACCAGGTAAAGTCGATTGGAGCTATTCTATCGACTCTCTTCTGCACAAAGGGTTTGTGCACGGAGCCATTGACGATAAGAACCTTGTCTATGAAAAGTGGCTAGCTCATGTCATAACGCGTTTATTGTCCTCCGTGAACCGAGACAGATAAATATATTCTGGGTAGTCCCAGCTTAAGAAACATTATCTTACCTCACATGTAAAATACTTGAATTTGTTTGTCAATGACGTCTTGATAAAATTCATCTACCCCCAACAGCCGTGTTCAGTTGTGAAGTGTATACTAGTATCCCTTTATCATGGCAAGAAACATTCTCGTAATGTATAATAACGTTGACTTTATATGCGTTGTCGGGAGCTCACCTGGCAATGTGGTGGCGACAATGTCAATGTGACCGTGTACCTGAGCCGACAGGCTTAGTAGAAAGGTTCTGCTCTGAATGCAGACTAAAATAGCTCATGCGAAGTGTTGTGTCATTGAAGTCATACAATATGAAAATATGAAAATTTGTATTTGGTTGAATCAAAATTCGGATTTACGTCAGATGCCGACTGTCTCAACCGCAGGTGCATAGCTTCTCTTCAACTGACCACAGAAACTTTTTGACGAGTCTGATTTCTGGAAATAACATCTATGGCAATGTTAATATCACTCTTGCGCCGGACATGCTTCGCCAGACATTAGGCACAACTGGCGACAGCGAGACGTACCGCCGAGGCGAGAAGCGCCCGCTTAAATTTTCCGAAGTGGGGAGAGTCTAATATTTTCACTCGTGACTGCGTCACTCGTGAAAATATTAGACTCTCCCCACTTCACTCGATGAGATAAAAGTGTTATTTGAGAAAACACTTTAAATATCCTCTATATATTGATATTTTGTTATATTTGTCTTGGATTTTCAAATGAATTCCATTCATGTGAAAGGTTATTTAGTAATAGCTATGGTTAGTGAAGATCCGGGGTACAATAGGTATTCAGCAACCCATGCTTGCCGTAAAAAGGCGACTATGCTTGTCGTAAGAGGCGACAATCGGTGTCAGGAGGTCAGGCTCGCTGACTTGGTTGATGCATGTATTCGATCCCAATTGCGTACATCGATGCTCTTATATCAATCACTGGATTGTCTGGTCCAGACTTGATTATTTACAGACCGTCGTCATATAGCTGGAATATTGCTGAGTGCGGCGTTAAACAACAAACCAACCAAACAACCAACAGCATTCTGGAACGAGAATCGAACTTGTATATCACCTATCCCTAGTTATTAATGGCTGATTTCAAAACTCAGATATTTCCTCTGCACCTATCTAACCACGTCAGTCACAGCACAGTACATGTGGCAACAACAGGTAACGTGGCAGCAGAATTAAACAGGTCAGTTAAAGTATTTGCCTTTAACCCCCGCCTCCGCCAGCACTTTGGTTGGTTTGTGCGTCAGCACCGACGAACGCCCAAGACTATACCTCCCTCAGACCCCTCTCAGACCCCCCACCCCCATCCACCCCACTATTTGTTGCCGACCTATACGACAGACCCTGCCCCGTAACAGCCGCAACTGCACTCCCCAGGCCCTGCTTTGAGTACTGACATCTTTTTGCCCCATCTAAAAAAATACACACAAAACTAACATCAATTTTAATACTGTTTAATTTGAATCAATACCAAGGCTGTGTATTGCAATACCCACCAGCCATGACAGTGTGGGTGGGATAGTGTGTTATCATCCCTTAGAACTGATTACTGTGGCAGGAAAGCCTCAAGGTTACACACAACCAAATGTTTTCCCCATAGACTTCTATAGTAACGTTATGATTTTTTTTTAAATAACTAAGCATTCAACAGCTATTACCTGTACGTGTGTGCACAGTTGGCCTTAGAGCAGCAATAAAAAAAATTAAAATGACTAGCTTAGCCAGCTCCTTTTCCGAGTACAGGAAGCTAAACACACCACCCCCAGTTTCGCACCAAATGTCACCTACTTGAAAATAGCTGTGGTCACATTCAGCATAAGTCATCATGTTGAAAAAGACAGTACTAAATATAGAAAAACATGGTCAGTTTTAATAACTGGATGGATGTACATTTGAAAGACATAAAAATCTAACAGAATATCCTCCAATCACAGCCTGCAGATATCTCTCGATCTGCACTGAAGGTGGTTCTGATTTGGTGTAGTAGAACCTGTACAAGGTCTGAAGTCCATTCATCTGGGCATTTCTCCAGATTGCCTGTCTAAATTATATTGAATACCCCAAACAAATTTCAATACCCAACTGTGAATGATATAACGCGTATGAGTAAATACTCAATGGCGTAAAACTTATCTGAGCAATGTTGGTATCAAAGTGCACTTCGTCCAAAGTCAAATGTACATGTGTAATGCGCAGATGGTGATAGACAAGGGTATCGTACTGATTATGTTCATCATAACAAGTCGTCATTGTGGTCAGATGTACGGCAACATCGATCAGCTATCAACATTCCTTTAACGATCCGTATTCCAACATAGTGGAATAAACATACATATCTGACCAGAGTAATAAAAACAAAATCTCTAATATAATGTGTATATTATAACTTAATTGTACATTTTACACTGTAGTGTTTTCCTGCTTTGGTTTGATTGGTTTGGTAGGGGTGGGATGTCAAGGTTGCTAAGACAACCTTTATGATCTTGTTTTCTAATCCAAGTTCACCCTGGTTTTGTTTGTAGGTTTGTCAGCACCATACCCGGGCTCGTGGGTTTCACGAAAGTGGTAAACGTCTGAGAAACGTCCATGGACCCCTGCTTCAAATAGACTTGCTGCAGTCGCGATGATCACTTTGTGTGAATTGCCCTACGTTTTCCGTTTCATTGACCAGATAGGTTTTATACATTTCTTAGCGGGTGGTGTAAGGACAATAAAATGAATATAAACGCAGATAAGTCCAAGATTGTTCACTTCATGGGTGCTACTATTGCCAGGACTTCGGTTTCTTTCTACTGTGATGAACTTGTGTTAGAAGTCGCACATTCTTATAACTATCTGGGTGTGTTTTTAACAGAACATTTAGATTTTAACTCTATGGCCAAATGTGCAGCAAAATCAGGATGTAGAGCCCTTGGTCTTTTAATCTCAATGTACAAAAGCCTTGGCGGTATGCCATTTAAAGTATTTAGCAAACTTTACGACACAATGGTTTGGTCTTGTCTGGACTATGATTCCGCAATATGGGGCACGACAGAATATTGGACGATAAAAGCTGTTCACCACCGTGCTATCCGCTTCTTCCTTGGACTGGGGAAATACGCACCAAATGTTGCAATAAATGGGGAGGTTGGCTTGTTCCCACCTTGTGTCAGATCGTGGACCACAGTTTCAAGGCACTGGGCCAGACTTGTCAACACGCCAAACAGGAGAGTCACTAAGAAGATATTTTTATGGGCAAGTAAGTTCAAGAAAAACTGGAACTCCAGGGTGACGTCGTGTCTCGAGAGAATAGACCTTGGGCACTTAACATCTACTAGCTCACACATTGAGTCGAGGCCCCTGGCTGCAGCAGTAAGAGAAAGACTGATGTCAGAGTATAAAACAAAGTGGTGGGACAAGCTACAGTCAATACAAGGGGCGAGGGGGAAGAAATGAACTGAGAACCTACAGGCGTTTCAAACACCATAACGATACGGAAGATTACGTTAAGAAACCACTGAGTCGTTGCCACAGAAGTGCGCTTGCTAAATTTAGATGCGGGGTAGCCCCATTAAAGTTAGAAACTGGCCGCTATTCTAATATTCCAGCAGAAGAGCGATTTTGTTTTAACTGTAGAGACTGTGTGGAGGACGAGATACACGTCTTACTTTTATGCCCACTATATAATGATGTGAGAACAGATCTTCTTAAACGATGTACTTTTACTGATCCGTATTTCAAAGGCTATTCCTACTGTGAGCAATTTACACTACTTCTATCCAGCTCCGATCTCACCTTTTACGTGGCCAAAACCTCTATGATATTTTATTGAAGCACCGATCTATTTTAAATTCATGATGTATATATTGTATGTATATTCATTTTAGTATACAAGTTTGTTTTATGATCATATCGTCTCTCATAATTCGTTTTACGACTGGCCGTAAGTTTTACGCGTGTTTTGATTTTATATGTATATTGTACAATGTACCTTATGTGTGAGACGCAAAAAAATTATTGTCTGTCTGTCTGTCTGTCTGTCTGTCACAGATAGGGAAATTCAACGACAACTCACAGATATCTAAATTATTCCATCCGATTGAGCAGGGTATTCGTCAAAATACAAGATCACAACATATTTGTTTATTTGTGATTATAAAAGCAATACGAAGAGAGAGAAAACAGAAAAAAAGAGTATTCAAACATTGAACCGGCGGATTTCATAATCCGTGAAGTGGATTGGAAGGCGGATTGTCCTTTACTATCAGTTCACTACTGCGGATGTGCCGAGTTCACAAGAGATACTGACGAATACCAAGAGCATGAACTTCACGTGCACCGCGTCACGCTCCACCGCAGCCCAGAGAAATGTTTTCTCATTGGAAGCAGTACAGCTAGACTAACATCTAGTCTCTGAAATGAACATACATGTAGTTTACAGAAGAAAAAACAGTTGTTAAATAATAGTTAAAAATATAATAAAAAGGAGCCCAGAGTAATCTAGATTTGCCAAACATGATAGACTTGCATTGGCTGTATTGGATATATTAGTTTCAGGGTCTGTGTGACAGACTACTGTACAGTGAGTGAGTGAGTATGGTTTTACGCCGCTATTAGCAATATTCCAGCAATATCATGGCGGGGGACACCAGAAATGGGCTTCACTACTGTACAGCCTGAGAAGACTGGTGGGGAGCCGTATTTCTGATGTGGAGCGTTTTCAAAGCACGTTGTGTGATTTGTTTGTTTGTTTAATTGCTGGTTAACGTCGCACTCAGCAAAATTCCAGCTGCATGTGTATATGAACATGGCAGGATAGGTACACAATGACAATAGTAATGACTGAAAGTTAAATCGAGACTTCATCAAGACATATAGTGAATTGTCACCTTAGGTTTAGACATAACTGAAGATAAGCAGCTTGTAAAGGTATATGTTAAGTTTCAGTCATTACTATTGTGGCATTATGCCGTTTCAAGGTGACCTTTCTTAAGTTTGTTCACCAGTAACTGTAGCATTTTTGGGGAAATATGGAAAAGGGCAGGCATCAACACGAAGACAAATGTTACCAGCGTCTTGATTTCGTAATGGGAGACATGCTTATTAAAGTATATATACACAATACAACGTACGTATGTAGTCTATCTAGTTAGTCTTGTGACAAGTCTGTACATGTGTATATAACACATAGCACGGCCTAGTCTAGAGAAAATCGTCCAGCAGCACAGATTATATATAGAATCAATGAACATATACTCGATTATCCATTGTATGACATCTCCGGTCCATTGTCATACATGACGTGGACCTATTCACAGCATCGTTTCGGAAGTGACCTCCAACGCTCCCTTCTCTGACTTTGCACCGAGTTTATCTCGCTCGCGACATTAGTTTGATTGGAGGGCTATTTTTAGCGTCGAGCTTTTCGAATCCGTCTGAAAACGAAACTATGGTTTGCGAATGAATATATTATATCCACGTTGGGGGAGCCGTTGCCATATTGTGTGCAGATTAACAAGAACTGTAAGTAGCCACAAGATGTCTCACGCCCTCAAAGGTCTTCCAAGTTGTCTGTCACTTTACCGTAGGTACCTGGAGGATGGAGAAAGAAACGTCATGACAACATGCTTCACTGTGATCTTTGAGCTAAATATTACATTTGTAGTGAGTGAGTGGGTGAATATTGTTTACGCCGCTTTAAGCACTATCCCAGCAATATCACGGCGGGGGACACCAGAAATGGTCTTGACACATTGTACCAATGTGGGGAATCGAACCCGGGTGTTCGGTGTGACGAGCGAACGCTTTAACCACCAGGCTACCCCACCGCCCCTATTACATTTGTAACTCCCACAGTTTTGTATTTTCTTTTGCCTTTACAGTATTAAAGAAGTTGTTATCCATAAAAATTGAGTCTACTTTGTCCCACAATTCAACAGTTCCAAGTAATGGCTATAGCTTCGCGTTCGGTTCCAAATTCAATTGAGCACTGTTCAATCTACAGATAAGCTAGCTCCAAGTTGTAAACACAGTACGTTCCATTATTCTCGGTTTGAGTAAAGAGATATTGGCATATAGGTAAAACTGATATTATTTTATCCACATGAAAATGATTGAGCACAAATGATCAAAACTTTCCCATCTCCCATCGATTTACAGAAATGATTATTTACAATGAATACATAAAATGACAGACATGAAAGAAGAGACATAAAAACATATGTACATTGTCATTGCTCACTGAGACATTTTTGTGTGTTTACATATATGTATGTACTTTCCTGAATACTAGTATGGTTTCGTTGACATGATTAGGGTAAAGGTGCATTGATAACTTACATCAGGGCAATCCAACATAATTATTATATTTCGTAATTAACAATAGTGAGTGTATACGTGCGTTGGAATGTCATTCAAATTTCATCTTTGTTATCGAACAACCCGTGTACATTCATGTAAACCCATTTTACAAATACGTTGGTCTCTTTATCAAACAGGGGCGGTCAGGTAGCGTAGTCATTAAAGCGTTCCCTCGTCAGGCCGAAGACCCGGGTTCGATTCCTGACATGGGTACAATGTGTGAAGCCGATTTGTGGTGTCCCCCGCCGTGATATTGCTGGAATATTGCTAAAAGCGGCGTAGAACCATACTGACTCACTATATCAAACCAAGCATCACAAGATTGCAATCTAGAACAGATAACTGCTTAAACGTGTAGAGAGTGCAGCCAAAACAAAAACACCGAGTTAATTATTTGGGCTTATTGTTGTGGCCCTGAACAAAAATGTTGATCTTTTTCATTACGTGACATGACGTTGAGCAAGGTGGCTGAGTTGATTGATTAGAGCAAGAGTGAAAAGGATCAATCTCTACTGTAGGTTCACTTCAAGATTTAAAAATGCATTCGTTAATGTAATATAGATTCATTATCTCAGGCGATATTCATCATCGCACCAACATAGTCTCTTCATCACAATAACTACTAATACTGAGTCACTAACAGGGTCAGCTACACCTGCCATGTCATCTTTCATTGTCAAGCACGAAACAATAACTCACCTTCCATCACCTTTCCCATCTTGTAGTTGGGTCGAGCTGCTGGAAGGCGGCAGTGTCTCGTGTTGGATTCCTATTAGTATCATAATTGGTCTGTTTGCTATAAGAGCATTTTACTAACTTGTCCATACAACATTTCCTCACTACATCTAATTCATGTTTATGCGCCAACACGAAATACCGCATGAGACGATCTTTATTCACTTCATTGTAATCTTCATTTGTTATTTCTATCAGGGGTGTGTTGAAATCATTCATGCTAGGTACCACTCCAATTATCAATGTTTTACACGTTTCCAGCAGAAACAGCAGTTTGTACTTCGCAGCCAGTGGGAGTAGGTACTCGACGTTGTCTTTATCAACAACGCTCCTAAAGTTGGGATAGATGGAGGTCAGCATGTCCACAATGTGGTCAACACGTCCGTCCAACTTGGCCACGGCTTTGTTGGTTTCGCTAGGAGGAGACTGGGGGTCCGGGCGTGGCTGGAACTCACTCACCAGTGTCGGGGACATCAGAGTGATTACAATCAGGTCCACGTGAAGCTCGTGGTCTTCCACCTGTATGACGGCGTCTGATTTCTTATTCCCCTCTGTTAAGAAGGTTTTCGCCTCTTTTAAACGTGACTCGGACATTTTGGTGACAGAAGTGTCGAAAACAAGTTCCAAATTCCTATGGCTAACTTTCGGAGATGGTGTGTCAATTTACTGCTGGTCTTGAAGCCTTTGTATTCTGGAAATAAGAATATGCCACAATGAACCATACACAAGAAGTTCCGAGAAACGAGCCTTTTCCTGGAAACATACCATGTAAAGTAAACTCACTCGCCAGTGTCGGGGATATCAGAGAGATTACAATCTGGTCCACGTGAGGCTCGTGGTCTTCCACCTGGATGACGGCGTCTGATTACTTATTTCTCTTTGAAAAGAAGGTTTTCACCTCTTTTAAACTATCCTCGGTCCTTTTGTTCCTTAACATGTCTTAAACAAGGACAGGTTCTTATAAATAACTGTCGCCGATGGCTTTACTTTGCTGATGATCTTGCAGCCACTGATCTGGGAATAAGAATATTTCACAGTGACAAGTCACCATTCACGAGATGTTCCGAGAATCGCGCCTATTTTTAGAAATATACCACGTAAAGTCGATTGGAGCTATTCTATCGACTCTCTGCTGCACAAAGGGTTTGTGCACGGAGCCATTGACGATAAGAACCTTGTCTATGAAAAGTGGCTAGCTCATGTCATAACGCGTTTATTGTCCTCCGTGAACCGAGACAGATCAATATATTCTGGGTAGTCCTAGCTTAAGAAACATTCTCTTACCTCACATGTAAAATACTTGAATTTGTTTGTCAATGACGTCATCTACCCCCAACAGCTGTGTTCAGTTGTGAAGTGTATACTAGTATCCCTTTGTCATGGCAAGAAACATTCTCGTAATGTATAATAACGTTGACTTTATATGCGTTGTCGGGAGCTCATTGGGCAATGTGGTGGCGACAATGTCAATGTGACCGTGTACCTGAGCCGACAGGCTTAGTAGAAAGGTTCTGCTCTGAATGCAGACTAAAATAGCTAATGCGAAGTGTTGTGTCATTGAAGTCATACAATATGAAAATAAGAAAATTTGTATTTGGTTGAATCAAAATTCGGATTTACGTCAGATGCCGACTGTCTCAACCGCAGGTGCATAGCTTCTCTTCAACTGACCACAGGAACCTTTTGACGAGTCTGATGTCTGGAAATAAAATCTATGGCAATGTTAATATCACTCTTGCGCCGGACATGCTTCGCCAGACATTAGGCACAACTGGCGACAGCGAGACGTACCGCCGAGGCGAGAAGCGCCCGCTTTAATTTCCGTAGTGGGGAGAATCTAATATTTTCACTCGTGAAAATATTAGACTCTCCCCACTTCACTCGATGAGATAAAAGTGTTATTTGAGAAAACACATTAAATATCCTCTATATATTGATATTTTATTATATTTGTCTTGGATTTTCAAATGAATTCCATTCATCTGAAAGGTTATTTAGTAACAGCTATGGTTAGTGAAGATCCGGGGTACAATAGGTATTCAGCAACCCATGCTTGCCGTAAAAAGGAGACTATGCTTGTCGTAAGAGGCGACTAACGGTGTCAGGAGGTCAGGCTCGCTGACTTGGTTGATGCATGTATTCGATCCCAATTGCGTACATCGATGCTCTTATATCAATCACTGGATATCTGGTCCAGACGTGATTATTTACAGACCGCCGTCATATAGCTGGAATATTGCTGAGTGCGGCGTTAAACAACAAACCAACCAAACAACCAACAACATTCTGGAACGAGAATCAAACTTGTATATCACCTAACCCTAATTCTTAGCTTCTCATTGGCTGATTTCAAAACTAAGATATTTCCTCTGCACCTATCTAACCACGTCAGTCACAGCACAGTACATGTGGCAACAACAGGTAACGTGGCAGCAGAATTAAACAGGTCAGTTAAAGTATTTGCCTTTAACCCCCGCCTCCGCCAGCACTTTGGTTGGTTTGTGCGTCAGCACCGACGAATGCCCAAGACTATACCTCCCTCAGACCCCCCTCAGACCCCCATGCCCCATCCACCCCACTATTTGTTGCCAACCTATACGACAGACCCTGCCCCGTAACAGCCGCAACTGCACTCCCCAGGCCCTGCTTTGAGTACTGACATCTTTTTTCCCATTTTAAAAAAATACACACAAAACTAACATCAATTTTAATACTGTTTAATTTGAATCAATACCAAGGCTGTGTATTGCAATACCCACCAGCCATGACAGATTAACTTTATTCATACGAAAAAGGAGTGTGGGTGGGATAGTGTGTTATCATCCCTTAGAACTGATTACTGTGGCAGGAAAGCCTCAAGGTTACACACAACCAAATGTTTTCCCCATAGACTTCTATAGTAACGTTATGATTTTTTTTAAAATAACTAAGCATTCAACAGCTATTACCTGTACGTGTGTGCACAGTTTGGCCTTAGAGCAGCAATAAAAAAAAATAATAATGACTAGCTTAGCCAGCTCCTTTTCCGAGTACAGGAAGCTAAACACACCACCCCCAGTTTCGCACCAAATGTCACCTACTTGAAAATAGCTGTGGTCACATTCAGCATAAGTCATCATGTTGAAAAAGACAGTACTAAATATAGAAAAACATGGTCAGTTTTAATAACTGGATGGATGTACATTTGAAAGACATAAAAATCTAACAGAATATCCTCCAATCACAGCCTGCAGATATCTCTCGATCTGCACTGAAGGTGGTTCTGATTTGGTGTAGTAGAACCTGTACAAGGTCTGAAGTCCATTCATCTGGGCATTTCTCCAGATTGCCTGTCTAAATTATATTGGATACCCAAAAAAACTTTCAATACCCAACTGTGAATGATATAACGCGTATGAGTAAATACTCAATGGCGTAAAACTTATCTGAGCAGTGTTGGTATCAAAGTGCACATCGTCCAAAGTCAAATGTACATGTGTAATGCGCAGATGGTGATA